CTTGGCGGGTATCTAAGGTTCTTCTATGTATTAAAAAAGTTGTTAAACATCTGAATGGCGCACTACCGCTACTAGTGGTGAGAAAATGTATTACATCTTGTTTAAAATCAATGCATTCTCACGGCCCTCTCTGGCCCAAAGTTAAACTGTTGTTCTTTTGAGGCCCTCAAGGTGGCCCATGGGTTAAAAATCTCTGAAAATGACTCGGCTACATGTAAAATTTTAGCTCAATAGGTGTTAAGTTGACAGAGTTTGAATTGGCTTTCAATTCAGTGATTCGTGATAGTTTGATAACAGATGGACATGAGCAGTGCTTCTTCACCATTTAGCAATAGGTGAATAAACATTACAATCACAAACAAAAAAAAACTTGTTGGCCTTATACAAAACGTTTAAACTAAAGAAATGTTTCCTCATTAAAACATCAAGATTTTTTATTGGTCTATTTAAAACAGTTWGAAAATGAATATTCAGAGCATATTTTTGCGTTCGTGTTGACTGCCATTCGACTTTTTTCTCCCAGTGAAATAATTCAGGGAACAACAAGCTGTGCATGTCTGAGTGTGTTTGCGCTGGAGGGAGGGAGTCAATCATAACAGCAGAAATCAGCCCTGCAGGCGATCTGTCTCCACTCATGACAAGCCTCCTGAGGTGCTCATCTTTCCTCCTCTGACTCAACCCCATCCATCCATCCATCCCTCCCTCAGACTCCCCCCGTCCTCTCCTCCCCGTCTCCCTCCCACGGTGTGTCTCGTGCCCTGGCATRGCAATTAACTCCAATCATCGGAGGGCGTAATGAGAGCCAGAGAGTGTTCGAGAAGCACGTTAACATACTTAGTTTTTAATCTTGAAATGAAAAGAATCACAAACACAGAGAGGAATCATCCCCCCGCTCCCTTGTTTTTATTTCTCAACCATCCATTCCTTCCTCCCTCTCTCTCTCTCTCCGACTGTTTGAACCGTCTTTCCTGCTTTTCTTTGAAGACTGAAGTGTTGCTGAACACGTAGAGAAGCAGCTCTGTTTTTTTTTTTTCTTTTTACCCCCCGGTTCAGAGAGCTGTCAACTGTGACCGCTGTTGAAAGGATGTCGTCGGGGGGGTGGGGGGCACTGTGGAGGGCAGGGGGGAGTGATGGCATGCTTGTTTCTTTGTGCTCCTGCAAATGTAGCAGCAGCCGTGGAGACGGGAGGCGATGAAGAGAACAGCTGGGGGTGAAGAAGCAGCAGGAAGAGGAGATGGGGGCCAAAGCAGCTAATTAACCACGACAGCAGCTCAATAACGGGACATAATTAGTCCTTATTGGTGGTCGTCTCTTTGGAGGGGGGGGTGGGGGGATAAATGGTTTCAGTGTCAACATTGTATCTGCAGAATGGCAATTAGTAGAAATGTGTATAATTTATTTTATTCCTTTTTAAATGGCTTTTAACAAAATTTCATAAACAAGGCTGAAATATTTATCATCCAAGATGGCCGCCACAGTCAACTAACCTTAGAAAACACAAATGTGACTATAATTCAGTCACTGTTACAGATATTGAGCTGAAATTTAATATAGTAAAAGCTGAGAGTATTCTTGAGCTGTATGATGGTATTTTAGTATACTGCAGTATTAAAATATGGATTACGGTATATAGAAATGGTGACACTATTCAAGTGAAGTGAAATTTCTCTCAAACTCAAAGTGAAACATTACTCGCTGGCTCCTGAAATCATAAGCCAGTGTCATGCTGACAGCTCTAAAGACCACCCAACCATGGCCTACGGGTTTCGTCAAACCACCATAGCTGGATTGCTTTCCAGTTTAAACTTTATATTATTTATTTATTCTTCCAAGCGCTGTTTACTGCAGACGAGGAAATAGCTACAAACTATTGGCACAAAGACTGGCTCAAAGGATGCAACAGCTCGGTTACCATCGTAACAGTCAGAGCAGAGATTTTCCCCACACCTCTCTCTGTCTCTATATGCATGTAAATGATCTCCATTATTAAATAATCAACACTCCGCACCCCTCATAATACTGTATACTGTTGTTAGGGCTGCGCAGTATATGTGATAGATGGTCGAAATGATATGAAGTTGGCCTACGGTACAAATTTACCCTCTACCATCCTGTCGCCAGTTGCGTCATCGCACCTGTCTCAACAGATCAACAGGGCTGTGAGTGCAGAAACAACTGAGCAGGAGAAGATCAAAATATTCTGAAAATAAATGAAGAAATATAGTGTTTTAAAACACGTATAGAGAAGTAAATCCTCTAAATTTCCCCCTCCCGCTAAAGTTACGTTGTGCCGTCGTGTCGCGGGATAATTTCCTCCCTCCCTCCTGCTGTACGTCACGCAGAGCGAAGCTTTAACAACCGTAGTTTTTTCAAACCCAAGTTGTCCACAGAGATTATTAAAAAAAAGATGTGGACGTTTGTTCGGTCATAAATCCATGTTCTGCTCTGAGAGGCAGCAGATAAGTTCAGCAGGCAGAAGCTCATTGTATGGCAGGCAGATATTACATTTATTTGGCTTCACCACACTTAGATTCCAGTTATCTGAAACTGTTTTGTGACAGAACTATGTGCAGCTTAAGGTCCTGTCACACTATAATATTTTAGGCAACTTATGTCAACTTAGAATTGTTTTATGTCTAAATGACTGATTTTACTTGAAGTACTGTTTAAAACATCCACTTTATTTTCATATTGTTGAAAATTTGAGAAATGTTTTTGTTGAAACTGTTTTGTAATGTATATATAAAACATTCTTTTGTACTTCTGTTATGTTCATTTGCACTACAGCAAAAATGCTGGGTTCGATTATGATTACAGTTTTCTGCTAAATAAAGCCATTGTGGAAGTTGCCTTTTGGTAATCTGACGTAAGGCAAACTGCGCCTCAGTCTGAGCGAACCAGGCCGAAGCGGAAGATTCCCAGAATTCGGGGAGCTTGAGCGACACAGCGTTGGCGGTCATGGCGATCTGGATACGTCCAGAAACAAACGTCGGGGTCACCAGTGTGGAAGTTGCCTTTTTGGAAAAAACGAGCCAAAAACTTCTCACATCAAGACTCTTTGAGTCGCATTTATTAAACAAAAGCCAACATGGCGCTGTGCATGCGTAGAACWABAACCCGCCTCCAAAACGTCATCACTCTTAAAGAGACAGCAACTATTACCTGGATCATAACATTATACATAACGGAACCATAACAGAAAGTGAATTATGCAGTCAGTATTGGGAGCACTATACCATCTTAGCTTTTTGTGAGCATTTTCTACCACGATATATACCGTTACTGTGAAGGGATTCAATTTATACCCTGATATGAATTTGAGGTCATACTGCCCAGCCCTAACTGTGGTATTTTTTAAAAGTTATACCTCAGTATGAAAATGATCGACACCACCCAACTCGAGGGTCATAGTCTGAGCAGGACACCTAATTTTCAAGATTTGATGGAAACAACACATTTCTCAACAATCAGTCTTTGTCTAAAACTCAAACATGAAAGGTGGCGGACGTTACGCAGATATGCATTCCTTCAAGGAAAGTTCTTCTTGGTTCTGTGCTAGCAGGTGGAGGAAATAGAGGTCCATCTGGTGATTCTGGGTTGGACTCTGAGACCCATCAGGTTCTGTTTTCACATTGAAGAGGCTCAGCTGGCAGATTGGACTTTCTTTGTTTTCTGCTCATCTGCATTAATCTATTTCAAACCAAAGGTGATAAATACTTTTTATTTTTATGCAAAATCAAAACTCTGCATTTAATTAAAATCAAGCAGGCGCCACACCCGATCTAACCCTTTTCCTCCAGCCTGTTTTTCCCCGACTACGAGGCCTGCCGGCGCCGTGCACATCATCCTCTTTGTTTCCTGGATTACCGCGTTGTTGACTGAAGCTTCCCGGTGAGATTTGACACGTTGGATCCATTTCACCAAACAAATTGGTGTCAAACATCTCGCTGCCTCTCGCAGCAGCTAATCAATGGGGAGTTCGCGGTGTGAGTGGGTGTCACTTCTCCATCTGCCAGCCTCGCTTTGCAGAACCGCGCCGACAGCCGAGCTGCCAACCATCTGACAATTATCAGCCGCTCGCTGTTTTCCCCTCTCAGATTTGTCACACGGAAAGTTGTGTGTTCGCCAGAATCAGATAAACAGCCTGTTAACGCTGACTGCATCATTAGGAAAGCATATGCAGAATATTTAGGAGGTTTATGGAAATAAAGCGATCAGGATTAATGTGCAGACGTGTTTTTACTCTGCTACAGGACTCACGGCTGATTTTGTTTTGTTTCAGAGCCGAACCAGACGGAGAGATGACCCTGGTTTTATCAATGAATCCTGTCCTGGACTCAGAGGGAGACCCTCCCCCCATCTGGGCGTCAGAACGCTGCAGGAAGACGTGCCTGTCCAACCCGGACCCGGCGTGCAGCTCGGAGCAGCAGTTCGCACAAGGTGCAGATAAAAGGCTCTGTTTATACTGGTTTCATTACAAATGAGTTCAAACTGAGTTTAAAACTGTTTTTGATGTGAATTCAGTTGAGTTTTAAAGGATTTAGAGGAGACCTAACATGGGGGTCCTAGAACAAGTTAGGACACATCTGTGGGCTCTACAAAACATGTTCATTTGATTCAATTCACAAAATTAATCTCAGATAATGAAATTTCACCTTTTCAGTTCTGTTCTGAGCTCTCTTCAGAACCTGCTGTTATGCTTGAGTTGCTATGGAAACCCCCTCCCAACCTTTTGTTTACATTAGCTCCACCCAGAAGTTTACTTTCTGTTTCTTTTCAGTAGAAAGTACGATTTTTCTAAAGTAGTCCATGATGAAATTATTTACATAAACTGCTAGAGCATTGCCATAAAAAATAAAATTAAATAAAAATAAAATTAATCCGTAATTAAGCTGTGATGGACTTGCGACCTGTCCAGGGTGTACCCWGCCCCTCGCACTGTGACTGCTGGAAATGGGCACCAGTGACCCACGCAACCCTGAAAAGGAAGAAGCGTGTACAGAAAATGGATGGATGGATGGATAAAATTAATCCACACATCTCCTGTTCTCCATGTTGTAAAACAGCAGAACCGTCCTGTGAAGAAGTGGGCGGAGTCTCAGGTTGGGGAGGGCAGGAGTGCGACTTGTGACATCACAAGTAGCGGTGTTTGAAATCAGCTCATTTCAAGACACAGAAAAATACATTTTCTTATAGTAAAAATACCTCTGAGTGCATTTTTTTGGTGCTTGGACTGTTTTTAGAAGCAGTACAGACCCAAATGTAAATTAAAAAAAAACCTGAAAAAAGTGAATATTTGGTCCCCTTTAAAGAAACCTCAAAGTATTTTTATAAAGTTAGGTAATTTATAAAACAAAGTGGAAGTAGTTAGTATAGAGTTAATGGGGTGAATGCTGACTCTGCATAAAAACGTTTCAGGATTAGCTGATCAATGATCAAGCTAGAAGTAAACTCGATGGAGCTTTTATTACATCCCTGGTTTTATTCCTGCCTATAACTTTGTGCKCAAATGTTATCAGGATAAGATTTAAAGCTGAAAGCAACAGTAAATATTCCAAACTCAACAGATTTATGTTTGTTTTCTCTGCAGAACCTCCCTGTAGAAGAGTTCCTGATCATGTTTCAGTGTCAAAGATCACATATTTCAAGAGGAAGTTTGTTGATGACGATGAAGAATCTCACTTCAGCTTCAGGACTTATTGTCAGACTGTAAGTAAACAACGTTCAGAGGAACCCAGAGTTTGATCTGATTGATTGTTTTAAATGACCCGTTTACAGACCTGTTGATGTATTTTCCTGTTGTCCGCAGGTCGCTCCGGTTCTGGAGGAGCGGGCCCATGTGCTGCGCCTCTCTCTGGAGAAGATGCGGTTCATCGACGACCCCGAAGCCTTCCTGCGCCGCTCTGTCCTCGTCAACAACCTCCTGCGGCGTCTGCGCGCGGAGATCCTGCTGCAGAGCTCCGACTGGTGCTTCCCGCCCAGCCCGGCCTTCGCCGGCGGCCCCTGCATCCTGCCCCCCGCCGCCGGCCCCGCCCACAGAGCGATGCCCGCCAGGATCTGCTTAGCGACGCCCCAAGCCGGTCCGCCTCTCCGCAAGCGTTTCCGAATGGTCCACGGCACTCAGGGGGATTTCCGTCCCGACTGCTGCTGCGTCTACGCGGCGGCGGCCGCTGCGGGACACTACCTCCACCTGCCGTTCTCCGTGTACGACTCCACCCTCTCCACCTGCCCGGCCACGCCCCACGCCTCGTTCTTTCAGCTCGCCAGCCACGGGAAGTTAGGCCTGACTGTCGCTGTTGGAAACCACGAGGAAGAGGAGGAGGAGGAGGAGGAAGATGCTGAGGAGGAGGAGCAAAATGAGGATGTAGAAGACGACTATGAACGAAGACAAGAGGGTCTTTCAGTTGATGCCGAGGACAAGTTAAACCAGAAAACCAGGACTAAGACTTTGTTTGGTCACAAACACTTGAGGACAGAGGGCAGCGGCGTAGCAGGAAGTGCAGAGGAAGAGCAGGAGGAGGAAGAGGAGCAGGTGGTCAGACTTTGTCCGTGGGATTCAGAAACGGATCTTCACAGGTTTAGTTTCTGGCACAGCCGAGCTCATAGACAATAACTGAAGAAATACTAACAACAATAATTAAAGATCCTTTCTCCTCGTAGTGAATTATCTTCCTGCTTTAGTTTCACCAAGACATCTGTTAAACACCCACTTCCTGTCACGTTCCTCTAACTGTTATCAAAAACACGTCGACATGACGGGATCCTGAACCCCACATGAAGTGGAGCTTGGATCGCACGGTCTCCAAGACCATTCTCAACACTTCAAGGTCTCAAACCGGGCTTTATTCTGGTGCGACGGTCCGCTTCCAGGACCCTAAACAAGCCTAAAAAAAAAAAAAAATAACGGGTTGTGTCTTTGTGTGTGCTTTTGTGTGTGTGTGTGTTTCTGTGTGTGTGTGTGTGTGTGTGTGTGTTTGCAGGAAAATAATGTAGCATTTTAATACTTGATCTTTTTGTGTTTCATTTCTGGGATGCACCGATACAATGTGTGTACTTGTACTCGGAGCTTCAGATAAATCTCACCAATCGTAAGAGCATCAAGACTTCCACCCACTTGGGAGAAGATAAATAACAAACTGTRCATTGCCTTTTTGTTTTCTTTTTATTTATATTTCCGTTTTTAGCAACACTGGGCCTCATGCAAGAACCGTTCCTACACACATATTTGTTCTTAAGTTGTGCGTACGAGTGATTTAGGAGAATTTGTGGCATTCACCAATTTTCTCGTAAGATTTTTTTCAGATACGAACAAAATTCACGTGTGGTCCAGAACTGTCGTATATTTTACGAGCAGTCAGTCTGCTGTTATCCAGACGGGTTTTCTTCATTAATAACTTTATATTTCATTAGTTTGAAGATATTTTGAGTTAATAAATCACACTCCATAATTATGTTGACAACAGGTTATTCTGTTTGAACTGGAATTAGATTTTAAATGTAACTGTAGGAGTCACCTCGAGTCAAATTATCAAGGAACTATCTTGGACTCTCAGTCCTCTGATGGGCCTTCGAATGGACAAAAACTCTGTTCCACTTAGAACTGGATTTAGGCCACTTTCTTACTAAATCAGATAAAAACAGAAGAATCTTCTCTTATTTGATTTATTTTTCTCTTAACTGAAAGTATMACACATTTTGATAATCAGAGAATGTTTATCAAAGTTACAGGAGAAGAGAGGACAGATCTCTTTTCTCCCTCAGGATGATTTCAGCTATGCATGGTTTTTCTGTGGGAAAAATTCTTATTTAAAATAATCTTTATGGTTTAATTTGATGAAATATCAATGTTTTACTTGTCTGAATCATCAGTTATGTTTTAAATAAGTGCTCATCAGATAATTTAAATGGGTCATGAAATGTTTTGTTCTGAACCACACAGCAGCAGCAATAATCTTTGTTTAGTTTCAGGAGGCACAGCGAGTTCTGAAACTTAACACTAATTTCTTTTTCTAATCTAACCTGGAGGGCGGACCATAGATTCTCTAAGCTTTTAGGAAATAACAGTTTCCGCCTGTCCAGGAGTGAGAAAAAGGTGACTGACCGCCGTCAGTCACTGTGACAGCTGGATTCTCTCCGGGGAATCAAAAGCTGAAAACTGTGTCAGGTTTGGCCCCTTCACGCCAACACGGAAACCTCACAGTGTGGAAAACCACGCCTGGTTTATCCACCTTCAGAAACTCTCCAGACGAAGTTTTATTTAAAACCTGGGTTCCAGTCCAGGCCTTGTCTTCTGGTTACAGCTGACGTGGACGTAAACGAGTCAAAGAGCATGCCTTGGGGTCCCCTGTTCGGCGGTCTAAAGACAGATTATCCCGGACGAGCCCCCACCTACCTGGCAGGTGACAGAACATCATCTCAAGGTAAAAGCTGGCTGTGTGTGACGTCGAGGTCTGACCAAAGCTGAGCACAGAACGCTTCGCCCTTCTGGTTAAAACCCACATTATTTAAGATAAAGTGTAGAAAAGCTAACACCTTTCTTCAACCTTTTTCTTAACCTTGCCCTGTAAACTCCTAAGATAAACAGCCTCAAATGTCTGGTGTTTAACATCTAATCTGACGTTTGTGTTTCTATTTAAGTGTGGTTAACAAGACGTTAAAGGCTTGTTATTGTTGGTCCCAAACTTTTTATAGGAAATTGTTCACAGTCAGGTGTACTCTATAGTTAGTTTTGTATGATTTGTAAAATAAATGATCGCATATAATGGTTCAAATCAACATTCACTGACTGAGAGTTACTTTTTGTGTCCATTCATTRTTGCACTAAAGAAATTTTTATCCAAAATAAGAGATCCTTGCTAATTAAATTACTCTTATAACCTTGTTATAAGACGTGTAAGCTGACCCTTACATAACTAATGACATACATTTGTTAAGTTATATTAAATTGAATATTAATGCTGTTGTATAACACTACAATATTAATATGAAGATCTCAAACTACAAACAAACTTAAATTATGCATTAATTGAAGTTTGGACACATTTTAAAATACTTTTTTTTCAGAACCACGTCTGACACTTGTGACAGTCGGGAGGGGGAGACGGGTGGGGACGACATTACTTTGTGATGTTATTTATGAATGGACACTTCCTGGTATGTGGGGCAGGAAACGTTACCTTATATGGTGTTTTTAGGGTGGTAATTYTGCTAATCACCTCTCCTCGTGCACGAGCAGCTGATACTCATTCATCAGTTTATGCTGCTCATTTACACACTTTTTCTGAAGATAGAAGAGTTTGTTGAATCTGACGTGGCATGTTCGTATGAACCCTTCATACGAACAGTAAGAGAAATTTAGGATAAGAATACGAACATGTTCTTGCATGAGGTCCGATGTCTGAATCATGCCTCTGGAAATGATCATGGTGTTTAACATGGAGGGTGGGTTGGAATGAATTACTGTAATATCCATTATTTTTTATGACAATATGTTGAACAAATCAGAATTTTCAATAGAAATGACCTTTTAGAACAAATTTAATCTGTTTATTCTACTCAGATTAGTACTCATATCAGCAAGTACTCATGTTAAAAGATTTAGTAAATACATTCCTTTTGATATCGACGCTGTCTCAGGCGATGATGCCACAATGTGTAGATTTCGCAACACAATCAGAAAAAATTTGTTAAATGACGATTTAAGTGCCTTAGTGTTTTTATTGTTTCACGTATGTTGTGTGTAAATGTAATTACATTACTAAAACACGACGCAGGCATGTTTGACAACAAGCTCCTTTTTTAAACCTTTAAAGGAAAAAAGTTTTTATTTTAAAATGCATGTTTTCTTTAGATAAAACACAGCCGTACCATCAACTATAAAAGTTATGATCTTCAGTCTAAATGCCCACGACTTTGTCTGAATCTGACATTAAAACTTAACCCGACTATTAATTAAACAAAACCTTAAAGCCAGAGTAAAGTAATATAAAAGCACACCGATTTGTTCTTTTTGTTTTCCGGGTGATGACACTACCATTAGCTATTTACGTTTTATCAAAACTGAGATTAATAATAAAAGCTTGAAATATCTTTGTTTTGATGTAGAAAGGTTAATGGTCAGTATCTTACCTGTTGTAGAAAACTGACAAATCCAAGTTTGGAAAAAAGTAACGTTTAATTTAAGCAGGACCAAAATCAGAAATGAAACGGCTCCAAATTTTTATTACGATTGTGCTAAAATTGCGATTGATCTATAGCTATCTGCAACAGGTAAGATACTAATTGTTCATAAATGCACAAGATGCTTTTGTTGCCAGACTGGGAGTGATTTTATTAAGACATTTATTGTTCCTCATGTTTCCACTGTTAATCAAGGATTATCTGCTTTAACTCAGTGACCGAGTAAACTCCCGACTTTTATTTTGACACTCTGAGCCCGTCTTATTTAGTGCTTTTATTGTTTTGACTCATATAAATGCCAGAACATCATCAAATTTTGTTTATAAAATTCGAAGCTCAGATGACAAACCTAAAAAGGTTTAAATCATTTGTTTTGAAGTATTTTTTGTGATGTAAGATTAGTTAAGAGCAGCTGACCCTGAATGATAAAATACATTTTTATTCTGAAAAGATGACAGATTTGTTTCTGAGACAAAAACTTGTAACTGGATTTTTTTTATTATTATTAGGAGTAACAAAAGAGCAAATGTGCTCTGCTATCTGTGTGATGTTCAGTGATACATGTACCAGTAAAAGAAATGTTAAGAGATTTTCATCTCCTGTACGTCTTTATTTTACAACCACTCATTTTAAARGAGCTTTCTGATGTTAAACACATTTTACTGAGACGTATGTGGTTATAAATCTTTTTGCCGTTCCTGTCATTTCCACCCCAGGTAACAAAAAACTGCTTCTACAATTACAAGATAAGGCAGGGGCAATTTAAAAACACACAGCTTCACACTCTGAGRTAAAAATGTGTTTTCCTGTCACGCTCTGCCATCATGTAGCTTTAAGTCAAATCTCCTTTGATCCAATAACGGTGCTAAATATCTGTGCCTGTTTTATTGGATTATTTCTCACCCTGTGCAGGTTTTTGTGTGTCGTCGTTTGAAACCCACCGGAGTGCTCGGTGTGAGTGCGCATCGGCGGGATGAAACCGAGGTGTGGAGGTTAAATCACGAGTCTGAGCAGCCTGACAGCTCTGGTGTGAGGTGAGGATGGAAGATGATCTGTTCTCGACACTTCTGCCGCAGGCGTGTGTAGATCCTGCTGCTCAGGCCCGCCACACACACACACACACACACACACACACACACAC